GCATAATTCGATAAATTCATCGAGGCCACGCGACGTAGTCTGGTAGAAAGCAAAGTTACTTAGACCCACGACAACGTGGTCCATTCCCCGAGGATAATTATTATGTACGGGCGACGCATCGATAAAGCAAAACCAATTAATCGTGATTGAAGTTGGACGAACGACAAAGCTAGAACGGAGAGGCGCTTCCGATTATTTTCGCCGGTGCTGCCAATAGCCGCGACAGTCGACGTGTTTCATCGTGCTCTAGAAAAGTTTCCTGTTTTTAATTACGTCGAGAATGCCTGCCAGTGGAACGGACGATGTTTGCCGGCAGACCGAAAATAAATGAAGCGAAATAATCGAGGCTCTCCTCGTGCCGTGGCCGCGTATCGAAATATACGAAATTATCGAGGCTATCCGATTGCATAAAGAAAACAACGATTATTGCTTCGTGACTCGTTCACCGATCTGCAAATAAACCAAACAAACTTTGTCCATCGAGTTCCCATCCTTCCTCTCCTCCTCGTCCTCCTCCTCCTCTCTTACTTTCCTCTTCTGGCACTTTTTTACCATCGAAACACGTCGACGTCGAAATCTCAATCGCTGGTGGAAATAGCGACAAACAAGAGGGAAAGAAAGACAGCTTTAGTGGACAGTCGTGTCACGCGTTTGTATCTAAAGGTGTTTTCAAATTTGATCAATGGAAGATCGATTCACAACGCGATCGAAGCTCGAATCAGTGGATCGCCTTTGCCCCAATCTAATTCTCCCTCGATGTTTTCGTGGTCGTTTTTCGCCATACCGAAAACATCGGTCGCGCTCGCGCGATTACCATCCGCGTCGCTTAAACGCATTGGCAAGGTCGCATAGCTGGAATATTCAGCTGGCGATTTCACCTATACTTTACACACGACGCGTTCGCAATAAGTAGATCGCAATTGATGGTGGCGCACTTCACGCGTATCCGCGTTCCCAGTCCGATGATATACTCTATATACTTTCGATCGGTAACCCAACTAAATTCGTCGCCAGATGACACCTACATCTTTATCGATAGATCGCATCATGTGTCTCTTTTTATCCGCCGTGATAAAGGCCATCTGTTACGCACGGACTGCGTCCGTGAATTACGAAATCGTCGTTTCGGCTCGGTGCGCTTCGGTGTCCCGAGTAAAATGCAGCTATGCAATTATCACCATCGATTCGGCAGAGAATTTCCTTTAAAATATGGAGATATTTCGTACGGAACACCATCGATTCAAACTCTTTGCGAATATTCCATTTACCTCGCTGTGTACGAGCTTCTCGGTCGGTCAAACTGACCAACTTCGCTTTTTATCGATTTCTCCAGCTCCCATAAGTTTGCTTATTGCAAGAAATAATTAAAAGTAGAAATAAATAGAATTCGAAAGAACGGTAAGTTTCTAAAGTAAATCTGGAAGACAGTGTTTGTAACTTTATCGCTTCTCTGTACTTTCCAACTTTCGAGGTTGATCCATGTGACTTCTCAACGGCTTATGTATGCACTGTTTTTTCTTCTTCACTGGGAAACGCGAAAAACGAGTTTCCCATTGCGATCGATTATAGCGTCTGGTGATATTCGAACGAAGCTCGCGAATCGTGGTACGCCGGGAGCCACCTATCGGCTATTTTTACCGACCACTTTAGCGATATACTAACGTTCATGATCGCGGCCAAAAATCATTGCCTCGAAATTTCATTCATCCATCGTGCGCTCACGTACTTTACGTCTTCGTGCTCTTTGCTTCGTACGCGTATCGTACGGTGCAATTACATAAACTGGTAAAATCGAGACGATCAGTACAGGCCAGCGTAATTGAGGAGAGTAACGTTATTAAATAAAAGCTGATGTAGCGGAGACGTCACGCCGGCTGTTCCCCGATTACCGATTAAAACGATCTTCGTCAGGAGAACGTTTTAATGACTTGCTACTCGGCCGACGCGCGTCATACTCGCGATCGTGCGTGCACAGTGCACACACGACTTTTATGCAAGAACGTACGGTCTTGTAATTCCTTGCATTCACCTTCGAGCATCCTTTCAACTTTATCAGCCGCTAAGATTTTACTCCCGTTCCTTTCACTCCCTTTATCCTCCGCTCTTTCTTTTCTTCCCTTTCATCCTCCCTTTTGTTCTTTCCCTTTTTCTCCACTGCTTTTTACCATCCACCATCCACTATCCACGTTTTTCCATCGAGTCGACTAGCAGCTCGCGTTAATTCATTCCGCCTCCAGATGATCCGGATCATTTTCAATTACTTGGCGAGATCTTCTTGACGCGAGGTTCGAGCGTGAAGCGATCGGCGGCTGATAGAATATAAAGTGCAAGCTAAATGGTTTTTTACGCTCAATGGGAACTTTCTGATTGATTTGTTGCACCAGTGCATGGCTAATTCAAAAGAAAACAATATAATTGAGAGAAATACAATACGATACGATATGATGAAGGAATATTGGATTGTATATCGGCGAATAGTTATTATTTTAGCGAATAAAAAGATTAAAGAAAAAGATTGCTCGATATAATCAAGTATCTGCAAATCGATCGTTTTATCTACACAGTGATAAAACACGTTGCTATTGATTCGTTCCAAAGATCGTAGATTTCGCATTATAATAAACAGTTGTAGAGTATCACATCACGGAAGCTCGCTTTAACAAGCAAATAGCGACATTGGTTTAACGTCACGGCCTTCTACGTTAATTATCTTAGCCGATAGCGCAATCTACGATTTGAAAAGCTATAGATATATACATTTGCACGTTATCGATTATATATGATTGTTAATCGTTTGAATTGTCTATCCGATATACCTTACAGATTCCTGAGCTACGAATTCTGACCTAACCTATAATTCAAATCCAACGTAAGACACGTACAAATGCAGACACACGTGTAAAATGCTTCGCGAGGACATACGAATTTACCGTTTTGCACATTTTAATCCCATTCACGGATCACAAGATAATTTTTGTCCTTTCAGTAGCAAAAATAGAAAATGGCAGCTCATAGAGAAGATTCATTACCTAATTTGTCGCGACGAGCGCAATTTTCCTTGCATTACCATCAAAGGCCGCAAGAGATGAATGAGGGAACGAGTGGTGATGCGAGTTTAAAGTTCACCACCTAGGTAAATCAATACCTTACGAGCAAAAAGAAATAGGAACTGAGAAATGGCCAGAGAGTGGGGTTGACGGATGAGAAGAAAAAGAGGACATCGAGGAAAGGCAGTAGTCCTTTGCGCTCTTCCTCTTGTTCTCCTTTTCTATCGCTCCGATGAATCAAATCTCCATCTAACATGCTGCAGAACTTTCATCTCTCTCTCTCTCTCTCCCTCTCTCGAGTAGACACGCTAATAGAACTCAGTAATTTATACCGCAGCAGCTATTTTCTCGTTAAAAATTTTCAATAAAGCGCGGCTGCGATCAAACGTCATTTCGTCGTCTCTCGATATATGATTTCACCAATCTTCGGTGGAAATCATGCATTGCCTTTCTGTATATAGCTGTCTTTTTTTTTCATTGATTCTCCTTTGAATATCGATTTATGTATGTTCCCTTGCCGGCATCTGACATCACGATCGCGTATCAATTATGCAAGAGTATAAATTAGGTCAGAACTCACTGCTACGTTTAAGTGAAACGAACTTCCACTTTCGTGGCGCCTACATATTCTAAAATGTAAAATGAAATATGATAGTTTCATGAATCGAATTACTAATGATGGCTAAGAAAAGATTATGGAAAATATTATAAAATAGATTGACTTGAATTTTTGCTACGTGCCATTATTATACGGTTATATTGCCAACTGTACTCATGAATCATTGTACGTATTTTCCGACAGTTTTTAAACGAAGATATTCGTTTTATCGGTAATAAGACGTTATAGACATTTTAAAAATAAACGTTGACTTGTGCACAAGGCAAACGAATTCTCAAGGCAGAGTAAATTAGCAAGAGTCGTTTAAATCAACGGACGGGTAATTAACGATTAGAACTGACGCCAGTGAGGCATCAAACACAAAATAGAAAATCTAATATGAGTAACAGATAAACAAATTTGATCGGTCTACTTTCTCTTGAAATATTTGGAAAACATGTTCTATATATATATTGTCATGTGACTGCGATTCATCGAGATTATAATTAAAAATGTAGCAACGTAGGAGAATTATACTTTATTGCATTTTAGAAAAAGAAAAATAAAGACATCTAACTCTTAAAAGCGATGGAAAAATCACTGTGGCGCTTGTACGCTTCTAAAAGACATTTATTATATTCTGCTTACAGTGCTGCCAACATTCGACTACATATGCGCCGCATGGCGCGCGCGTGTCGTTTATACCATAACCTCACTTGTCATGTATAACCTCAACTGAGATATCGAACAATTCGCCGGTACAATAACAAGAAAGAAGTCTATGATCACATGTTTATAAGCAAAAAAAATATATTCAATAAATACCAAAAGATAATTATTTTTTCTATTTGCCTCATTCCAAATTCCCTTTTTTTTTACTTTTTAGTAAGAATCTTTACTTCACTTTTGTACTTCATGATAAATCCGTCACCGTCGAAAGTTAAACTATCGAAATTTAGAAGAAACAAATATATTTATTTGAAGAAAAGAGAAAGGAGTAAAAATGCTCAGCTAGATATCTCTTTGTTCATCAGTCATGTAGATCCATTTGATAGAATAAATTTATTACTAACGGTGTTCGAAACCAATTCCAAAGATGTTATTGCAGCCCATAAACGAACCAGAAGTAACTCTTCACGGTTTGCTCATCCTACTACATTAGGATTGATGCTCTTCGTAGTTGATATATCGAGTTATTAATATTACGAACTATGTAATAACGACATTAATGATCGTAAGTTACGATGGAGCTTAATTTAGTAGGGTACTCATAGCGATATACATACAAGTTAGAAAATTTTTATAACAAAATGTGTATTGCATTGAATTTAAATGGGATTATTGAAATGTTACAGATGTTACACCGTCGGAACAGGAAGAACTGTTCATCCGAAAACTCCGGCAATGTTGTGTGACTTTTGATTTTATGGATCCGATGGCGGATCTTAAAGGCAAAGAAATTAAACGTAGTACACTCAATGAATTAGTCGAATACATCACAGCTGGTCGAGGCGTCCTTACAGAGCCTGTATATCCCGAAATCATTAAAATGGTAAATATAGCATAAGAATAATGTTTACGCCTGTCATTTAATTCGTAGAGTATTTTCGACATAATAATACGTTTGTTGAAGATTTCTGCAAATCTGTTTCGCACATTACCACCTAGTGAAACTCCCGATTTTGATCCAGAAGAGGATGACCCGACATTGGAGGCGAGTTGGCCTCATTTGCAATTGGTTTATGAATTCTTTTTACGCTTTCTTGAATCTTCAGATTTTCAACCTACGATTGGCAAAAAAGTTATTGACCAAAAATTTGTTTTACAGGTATAAAATTTGCAACTTATAACATATAATATTTCTATATTTAACACATATTGTTAATAATAGATTAATTGATTCAATAGTATATTTGTTATCTGTTTGTAGTTACTGGAGTTATTTGATTCTGAGGATCCTAGGGAAAGGGATTTTTTGAAAACTGTTTTGCATCGTATTTATGGGAAGTTCCTTGGTCTTAGAGCCTTTATACGCAAACAAATCAGTAACATTTTCTTGAGGTATCTGAATAAAGTAACAAAATTCATGCAATATATGATATGTATGTATAAAATACATTTTTTCTTTAACTGCTTATTCTTATAGGTTTGTATATGAAACTGAGCATTTCAATGGAGTTGGTGAACTTCTTGAAATTTTGGGTAGCATTATAAATGGTTTTGCTCTTCCTTTAAAAGTTGAGCACAAACAGTTCTTAGTTAAGGTAAAAAAAATAAAAATAAGAAAGATGATTATATAATGAGCGTAGATTAATATACATTGAAAATGTATTTTACAGTGTGATTTATGTTTTGTTATTTTGTTACAGGTGCTGTTACCACTACATAAAGTAAAGTGCTTATCGTTATATCATGCACAGTTAGCTTATTGTGTGGTACAATTTCTTGAAAAGGATGCAACCCTAACAGAGCCTGTTATACGAGGCCTCCTGAAATTCTGGCCTAAAACATGTAGCCAGAAGGAGGTAATGTTCCTTGGTGAAATTGAAGAGATCTTGGACGTGATAGAACCTAGCCAATTTGTTAAAATACAAGAACCCTTATTCAGGCAAATTGCACGTTGTGTCTCTTCGCCACACTTTCAGGTATTTGAGAGATATTTTTTACAGGATAATTTAGAACACAAAAATATCATTAAAATTTTTTTACCGACAAAATTCCTTTATCCATAGGTTGCAGAAAGAGCACTGTACTTTTGGAATAATGAATATATAATGTCTCTAATTGAAGAAAACAATCATGTAATAATGGGAATTATGTTCCCGGCATTGTATAGAATTAGCAAGGAACATTGGAATCAGACGATCGTAGCCCTTGTTTATAACGTTTTAAAAACATTTATGGAAATGAATAGCAAGCTCTTTGATGAACTTACTGCCAGCTATAAGTCTGAAAGGCAAAAGTAAGCAGTGTTACATTTTACGAAAATAATGAAATAACTATTAAAAGATGCTTAGTTCTTTCCGAAAAACAACTAAATAAAAACTCGTCGGTAGCTTTTTACGTAATCTATAGAAATATTTTATAATGTCAGAGAAAAGAAGAGAGAAAAGGAAAGGGACGAATTGTGGAGAAAACTGACTGAATTGGAGGTAGAACGACGTAATGCGCTTACTGCTACCTTCAACAATCCAGTTCCTGCCACAACAACACCTACGACACGAGCCCGCCCTTGAGCTGGTAACTAACTATATCCATTAAATGGTTTCATATTCTGAGTGCATAAATATATATAACATTCAATAAACGTATTATTATTACAGGTGGAAATTCGCTCCCAAATTACCCAATCATTAGCCCTTAGTTTACGTCGATTGTCCATACACTACATGCAAAAATTACTGTTGTTAGTGGAGCAAAGTGTCTCACAATGGCATTCTTGACGTAATGTAATTTTTTTCATTAGTTACTAGCCTAACGGGCGAAGTGGAGAAGAGAAAAATGAAAGAATCAGTAATCACAATTTTATTCTTCTTCGATGCAATGATTGATGAGTTCTAATATTTTTATTGTGTACATTAATTTCTACTTTTCTTTTTTCCTTTTTCTTTAATAGCAATGATTTAAGTTGTACAATGTACTCAGTGTCAGCACATAATACGACGATGTTTTAGTCCCTTCTGAACTAAGGTGTAGCTGCGCTCGGTGGGAGGAGACGATCAAGATGTAAATTCAAATAGATAAAATATATTGTTATAATATTGATTTTTGCATGTGACATTTGCTTCAGTTTCTAAATGGCTAATGTCCTCTCATGACTGACCCACCTTACTCTGATTCTCACCTCCAACAGAGCCAGCAGGGACGTTGTTTGAAATGTATCATATATTCGTATTAATGATAATGATAACTATAACAAAACATAATAAAATTAGGTAAATATATAAATATATATAAATATATATATATAATACAATATATTATAAAAATATAGTACTATTGATGATACAAATTACACATTTACACATACACGAATACACCGAACTGTGGTAAATACGTGTAACGTACAGACCGATGTGCTACAAATACTAACATTGTGCTGACTGCATGCCCGCAGCAAACGGAATAAATTTTTTCAAAGAAAGAGAGCCGTGATGATATGCTCGTCGCATATCGGAAATAATATTATTGAATAATAAGGTTCAATTCATTGAAACAAAAAACGTAAAAAATATATGTTGTTTTTTAAATAAAAAATAAATAAAAAAAATAAAGATGCGAGGGGCAAGTATACAATAAAAAAATTTAATTGTACCAAAATATCCATTGCTTATAAATATAATAAATAATAGAGATACAATGCATAAGATTTATTCGGAGCTGTGCTCCCACAGGCCACCGCAAAGACGTGGGATCGTTTTTAAAGTTTCTTACCATTGCATAATAATAATAAACAATAGTAGCTCTTAATAAATAGATGGTTAACAAATGAGTGACAGCTTGCTCATATTTTCATGAAGTAGCTGAGAAACACATCTAACATATTTGTTATGTTTTACTTTCCATTCTTTTTATGTCAAATATGTTTTACCTCATCTCATAGCATACTTTGTTTACATTGTACACTGTTTATCTCCACTTCATGAAAATTAGTTCAAAAATAAATTGAAATAAATAATTATTGTAAATGCTGTAATGTGACTCAAAAAAAAAAAACAATACGGATAAATTCATAAGAGTTCTATACGCATAAATAGACACTTTATTAAACGAATGTCTAATTTATTTCTACTCTCTAATTTTCTTAAGCGCTGCTTGATTAAACATCAGTAACACCATAGATTACTAAAATATTTTGTCGTGGCCTATTTTCTTTTTTCTTTCTTCCTTTTTTTTTTTTTTTTTTTGTTCCTTTTTAGATATGCAAGCATTTCATCTATCTTTCCGACAGTAATAAAGAATTCTAATAATTATTATGTTTGGGCTAACTTAGTTTTTAGTACATTTCCAAATATACTACAATAAGGAATTCTAACGATATATTAATATTTTTTTATATCGTAGAAACTGCATTTGTATGACAGCATAATTACAAAAATTGGATACGAAACCATTGCAAATAAGTACTTCCATACTTTGCGGCAGAAAAAAACAAATATAATCAAAAGATTAGAACAATAGGAGATCCTACGATTACAAACGCGAGCTACACTGTGATAGTCTATCATACATATTTATCGTTACAACGCAATCATTAGCGATTATATTAGTTTTCTTTCCTCGTGCAAATTACAAATGAACAACCTCAATATATACGATTAGTCCGAATTATAGCGGATATGATTTCATTGTAAATAGACTTAATAGGTATATACTTCAGATACTCATATTAATCACTGTTAGGAACATAACAGTTGTACAGTTGATTTTAGAATGTAAAAAGAGTAACATAAATGAAAGTTGATTAATTTATCCTTGTCATATTATACGTAAGAATGGTTAGCTATTCATATAATAAATATAAGTGCAGTACTTGAATAAGATTAATAATTATTTATACTCTAAAATTAGCTGTTGCTTGAAGATACATGAATAGAATGTTCTAATGTAACCGAATGTTTTTTTTTCTAGCTTGAAGAATAAAAAATTAATACGAGACATTATAAAAAGAAATACAAGATACTATAAACAAAAGACACATTCTATTATTTTTAAACAATAATGAAGATATTGCCAAAATTTTACCAGATACGTTTAAATATCTTAATCTTTAACATTTATCAATCATTTACAAAGGCATATGTGTTTTATTAAAGCAATTAAAAATATTTTCAGTTGACGTCGGAAATAGGGTAAAAATTTATTTCACAATATGACAAAAGTTTCATCTGAAAGAAGATATCTGTAAAAATATAATGATGATGCAATAAAGTTAAAAGAATATATTACTTTATTATATATATATATACATAGCTTATATAGTAAAAAATGTATAATATTAATCTTGTAAACAAATGATTACTTGACTAAGTTATTTTGTTGCATAATATAGTATTGACACATTGAGATAGGTTATGGAAATAAATTATTTTTAAATAAAAATAGAATATAGTACATAGAGAGGTAGAATAAGAAAGGAAAAAACATAGTACACAATTTTCACACTTATTGTGTATTATATATCTATACAAATAGAAAAAGAAATTTTTAAGTTATTTATTAAATGAATTACATATTAGTTTTGTTGTTACTAGCTTATTGATTTATGAAATTCAATTAACTCTTAGTTTTTAAAGAAAAAATTCATATTTTAAAAATATGTCATATTGACAATTTGTTAATGGATAAACAAGATCGACTGCTGTAAATAATTTTGGAATTATTAAAATACAATTAATATTTTTCAAAATTTTTACAATTTTTAACGGAGTTAACAAAGAACTTATTGGTAACAAAAAGAAATGAAAGGAGGTTTAATGTCTAAATCATTGATATACCTAACACGCTGTCAATGTACTCGGTTTTTATGAACGTTCGTAATGTGAAGGAAAAGACATACATTTATATGTCAAATACGCGATTTAGTTTTACCTATCCCAAGTCACTATTAAAACAAATTTGTACGAACGTGTAAAATGGATTTTTTATTTTTGAGCACACAGTTATATGCTCGAAATACACTTCCATTAGTTTTATGAATATAATATCGTATCTGTAGGTTATAAATACCGAAAATTTATCTATTTGTCGTTCGATCAAATATTTATTCCCATTATGTTATCTCGAAAAAATAAGGATTTAAGAACAATTAAAGAGGGAGTTGTTGGTAAATATGTTAAAAAAGAAACTCCGCCTGAAATGCCAAGTAAGTTGTCATTACTATTGTGTTACAAATAGTTTGTAAAAAGACAAACTTTTTTATAGCATTGATAAGTTTCTATGCTTTTTTTTAAATGTTTGTACTTTTTAACTGTTTCATTACTACTGTACCATTTTTAATGACAAAATACAGTTTGTTTATTTTTTATAATTATTATTTACTTTTAGTTATTAATGTATGGACAACAGAACCAAATAGAAGGACGAGGAATCGCAATAATCATCCAACTATCCCTACATCCATGGTAAATAGCAATTGTGTATGTTATATTTTTGTAGACAAATAAACACTAATTTTTATATAGTCTATCCCACAACAACCCAGCATGGTACAAAAATTTGGAAATACTAAGACAACAATGAGTGCAGTAGGTTTAGGAAGTCACGAAGGAAAGTATACTCCCAATAGTTCTGTCCCAGATTTAGCTCAAAGGTAATTTATGTTTCAAAATATACAATCAAAGTATATTTAAAACCAAAATGCAACATACTTCTTTAGATTTGCCAGTCTTTCTGTCAATACTAGTACAAGGGATGGGATGTCATCTCGTACTGCAACTCCAATGTATCATTCTGGACTCTCACCTGCCATATCTCATACTTATGTTAATCAGTATGCTGGATCTGAATATCATTTAGATCGGGTTCAAACACCACAGATGCCTTATAAGCCATTTGACATTGATTCAGGTTATGACGACTATAATCATTCTGCATATCGTCACAATACAGGGTAGAAAAGTATTATACTTAGCATTCCTAAAATTGTCAAAGTGTGATATGTTGTTTACATTTATGTTTTTAAGATATAGTCGTTGCCATTCAGAAAGATCAAGTTCTAGGAATGAACAGCAAGAAGAACTTCCTTTACCTCCTGGATGGTCTGTGGATTTCACTCTCAGAGGTCGAAAGTACTATATAGATCATAACACAAAAACCACTCATTGGTCTCATCCTCTTGAAAAAGAAGGCTTACCTACAGGGTGGGAAAGAATTGAATCGCCTGAATATGGTGTTTATTACGTTAAGTAAGTTCTGTGGTAATTAAAAATTCAAAATACATGTTATAATTCCTATATAAAATTATATTATTTTTAGCCATATTACACGGCAAGCACAATACGAACATCCATGTTATCCTCATGAGATACAAGCAGTGCGTGTTGTATCACCTCCACGCCACACACATTTTCACTCTCACAGTGTTTTAGTTCCAGCTAACCCTTACCTTAATGAAGAAATACCTCATTGGTTATACGTATACAGTAGGGCATCGGTAGCATTAGATCGTAAATTGCGATGGGAACTTTTTCGTTTACCGGAACTTGATTGCTTTAATGCTATGCTTACTAGATTATATAAACAAGAATTAGAAGAGGTAGTCATGCGTTACGAAGAATACAGGTCTGATGAGTTTTATGTTTTTCATACAAAATGATTTTTTATATAATGTATCACATAAATTCATTAATAATATTATTTTTTAGATCAGCTTTGCTATGTGAGATGGAACAAAGATTAAAAGAATTAAATCCAGAAACTTCTGGAGCAGTTGCCTTGCGACAATCTCTTCCTTAATTAAAAGTATTTGTATATTATCAATGATTTTCTGTAATATGAATGAAAGGAATTGAATATATGTAACGTGAATAAACTGCGCTTATGAATATATTTGTTAATAAATTGAATTTAGTAAAAACGCTTTTGTAAATTCGCTTTATTCTAGCTCAAAATTAATAACATGTTAAAGTTCTATGTTTCCACGACATTCGTTTCATTTTCTTTATCTTTAGAAGTATTTATAACAATTCCTTTGATTTCTATAAATTCTACGTCTATATTTTCCTTTTTCATTTTCTTCATTAATCTGTCTTCTGCAAAGATTTCAAATTAATTGGACATAGTATATGTGTGCAACAATGTACGTTGAAAATATAATTTAAATTGTTAAATTTGTAATACGTACTGGCTTCTGGAGTAACAGGTAGGTCATCCTTAATCGAATAATAGAATGTAAGTATAACCAAATTCCATGCAGAAAATGCATATATTGTGGATAAAGTTAATCGGATTCGCGGAATCCTATCAGCTGGTAGTATTTGCTTTATTTTGTGTAGAAAGAACTTCCACATATTTTAGCTTCTCTAATAATCACGGTTATATATAAAAGACATGAAATTCGAAAATATAGCGAACTTAATTTAAAAAGATGGAATATAACTTTGTCGTCTAACCTCTTATTATATATAGTTTTTTTTAGAAAGTCAGGTATATACAATATAATTTTCATTATTTACATTTTACTATCATATTATTAATATTCTACTAGGTTATATAGATTATCAATATGAAGCACGAAAATGGATTGTAAACCCACAGCATAAGCAGGAATCGGGATTGTTACATATACATACTTTATTCTATACTTTAATTCTTGTAAAAATTTAATTTAACTTTTAATTACGTCAATATTTACGATATTATTAAATTTCAACTTTATAACGATATGAGATGTTTCCATGTAATTTTATTACTTCCTATATTCTATATTTGAAAAATTGTTATTCAACAAAAATCACGAATATCGTTAAAATAAGTATAAAAATTAAAAACAATTACAAAAATAAGCTGTAAAAAAAGGAATTGTCTAAAATCTTTTATTACATTATTATGAACAATTCTTATGCTTTTACATTGGAGTAAATTTCCATTCCTATGTCTTAATCTTTATATTCTTATTAATATACATATATGTAGTAGATAGATATATGATATGAAAACAAAATTATAATTTCTAATTGTTAAACGCGTCACTGTTTACCTTCACCTTTATTAGCGAAGATATAAAAATATAAATACGTTTTTAATTATTAATATATTTTACATTAGCTACAACGCGATTAAGCGAAACAATAATTGGAAAATCACGAACTATATGCTTGTATATACGGATTAAAATAAAATAATTTCTACTAAAATAGTTAGGATGTGAAACGATGCTTAGTATACATATAAATCTGTATGAATTTATGGATACGTCAACCTTGAAGGTTTTTCCCATCGTACAGCACTGGTTCCTATCGGAAAGTGAGATGTGATTGGTTGTGTGAACCCCAGACTGGAATGAGACAGTGGAATGGGATGTCTGGCAATCGAATAAAAGGGGAGGGAGGAGTAATTTCGCGCGTTGAACGGATACCGAATAATTTCGAAGAGATTCGCAAGTCACAGCGTCGTCTCGAGTAATCGGGCAAAGATCATTAAGTAGGCGAATCCGTCCATCAAAGCCCGACGAGATGTCCGTCATGGGAAAGGTAAGCATATTAACATTCTAATGCATCCAATCCGACATTGTTATATAGAGCTCTTGCTTTTATTATCAACCCTTTTATTTGCGATGAGATCATGTCTTCAAGCAGCGAACAAAAATCCGTACGAAATCTGCATTGTTAGAATTTAATTTTTCCTCTATTATTTGAATCATTAACAATTTCTCACCGTAAGAAAGAAATGCTCTTGATTTGAATCTGCTTTTACTCGGCCGGTCTCAGATGAACCAATATAGACCTTCATCAACGTGTCGCTTGAAATCAGTAAACATCGCAAAATGTATCGGAGTATGCATTATTTTAATTTAATTCTTTTTCTCACTTTTAGCCAGTACTCTACTCCTATTGGCGGAGTTCTTGCTCGTGGAGAGTACGAATTGGTAACTAAAAAAGCATTATTTTTTTTTTCTTAAGATAAATAAATTTTTCTTATTTATACAAGCAATCACATGTACTTTTTAACAGCATTGAATTTGAAAGAAATCCCCTATGACATAAAGCCAGTTAGCTTGATAAAAAGTGGTGGAGAACAACATTCTAATGAATTCCGTGAGATCAATCCAATGGAGCAGGTGCCTGCACTTCATATTGACAATCACACGTTAATAGAATCTGTAAGTATTATCTGTAAGTTTATTTATTATTACATTATGTATGTCCTAACGATATTGATACTCCGAGGCAAAACAACAACATGATTCGAATTATCCTTTAACTCGTGTGCTGTTACAAGTATATGAACATTCATGTGTATTTCTTTGTTATCCAATGACAATGTACTAAATATGTAAAATTTTTTATTCTAGTTAAATATCTTGCAATACCTAGAAGAAACCAGACCACATCGACCTTTAATGCCTGCAGATCCAGTAAAACGAGCAAGAGTCAGAGAAATTTGCGAGGTTATTGCTAGTGGTATACAGCCCTTGCAAAATTTAGTCGTGTTGATTTATGTTGGAGAAGAACGCAAGAAGGAATGGGCACAACACTGGATTACTAGAGGTTTAACAGGTATGTTAGGAAATAGGAAAAAAAGTATGAGTTTAGCTGTACATTGGCATAGATGTGACCAAGATTATTATGTTCCAGCTGTAGAAAAATTATTGTCATCCAGTGCAGGGAAGTACTGCGTAGGTGATGAAATCACATTAGCAGACTGTTGCTTAATACCACAGATATTTAATGCAAGGAGGTTTCTCGTCGACCTACGACCTTTCCCAACGATTTTAAGGGTAGATCGTCATTTAGAGAATCACCCAGCCTTTACCGCTGCTCATCCAAACAATCAGCCTGATTGCCCACCAGAGGCAACCAAGTAGCAAGCAAGGCAGACCACCCTCTTCCTCTTCTAATTTATTAGAAATAGGAAGGGAGTGGTCCAATATGTTGTAGTTCTGTGGTGACAAAAGGTGATGCAATTTGATTTTTAAAAAAGATATTAGCATATAATTATGTTAAAATGATAATAATATACGCCCTAGTGTTGTATATTAATTAATTTTTAATACCACATGTTGTAAATTGAAATTTACGAATACAACTATTTCTTTTTTCTTATCGTTTTCTAGGATTAAATTCTTTTGTTTAGTAGAAGTATACACCTTTTATCACTTATGAACTACCTTTAGGTACCGAAATGGTAAACAGTGGAACGTAGAGTATCGAACTCTATGATGATTTTCAGTTGTTTGTAAAACCGAATTCCGTGATATGATATCTGTTTCGGGTGAAAAAACGCACTGTACCATTTCTGTACTTAATCAGAGGATAAGAATGTTGGCCTGTTTTTATTTTTGTTATATTTTTTCATTGGTTTCTATATACACAGAATCAAAATTAACAAAATTTGTCTTCGTACAGTACTTACAATTACTTTGTAAAACGTACTGACCTATTATAAATAGGTTCTGTTGTCTGAAATCAAAAGTTTACTTTTTATACACTTACAATAATGTAATTTTTCAGTTACTTTTAGCTTACTTAGATTAAGGAGAAGTGTTGCTATTAAATAATATTAAATATAACTTGAAATTCTTTACCGAGTATAAAGTAGCAGATTTAACATCGCAGGTACACATACTCACATACATACACATTGAATAAACAAAGAAATAAAGAGGAAACGTGTAATAAGGGAATGCAATCTGCTCAAACTCCGTAATAATATCGAGGAATGAAAAGTACAAATCAAATTCCTTTTTCTAAAGCTTTATCTTGAGTATGTTTCGTTTTGCTCCGTACTATGTCAGTCCATAAGTGAACATTTTCAAATAGTAGATACGAGGTAATTTCGATTTTATATATTTTTTTAATGTTAAAAAAATAGGAAGGTGTGCTCGATTTTAATATGTCGCACAAGCTCGTCACGTGTGTATTATTATTAAGATAGAATCATTCTTTTCAGCGTTCCATGGGAAAGAAGTTACATTTTAAAATCATTCAAAAATGATTTTTCACTCGACTCTATCAAACCGATAGAAAACAATAATTAAATAGAAATTTCGTAGGATACTTTTACGTTTCAATATTGAGCACCCTTTGGAACTTTACACTATATTTTCTTGCGAAGAGTAATCTTTATATAGAGATACATTTTTTATTGTATCACCTATATTGTATAACTTTGACATATTTTGTAGTTTTATACACAAATGATACGTTTACTGTACAACAAGGTTCACACGAACAAAAGTCAAGACGAAACAGAATCGCGTGGCAAACTTTATCAATAACTTCGGCATTGTTCCTTATTGCCGGGTTCCTTCTTGCCATTACTTTCTACGGAAGTAAAAACTATCCTTGATTTATAAAGAAATCGTACGATGGCAAAAAGTTAGTAATTCGCAGTGTTTAAGAGAATACCGTATTATGTAAGAACGGGAGGGGGTTGGGGGAACGTTTGTTTGCATGCTTCTGTCATGCAACGGTCTATCACATACATAGAGATAGTTTATAATTTATATTCTAACGTAAAGGAGGAGAAAGACGTAACATACACTTCGTATTTAGATATGTGCATTATGCAAACGTGTGATTAGATAATAACATATGTATATAATTTTTATACAACAAAAATTGGAATGTTACACGCGGAAAACAGTTTCAGCCATATTTTCGAGATGGCTGTTCATACTGTGTCGACAAATATATCGCATGTCATATATTACAAAGTTTATAGAGCACGCATAAGGAAAGGATGCAAACAAGTGGTGCCCTTCGAGCGTAATCGCACAAAAAAGATTTTTATTTCTTCGACGATCTCTCTGTTATCGAGGCATGTATCATGGAACACTTCGATCAATGCGACGTAAGATGCTAGTGGACGTTAATAAAGTGTCGCGATAGCGAGGAAGAGAGCCTAACTTTTCTTTGTAACTCTCGTGATATTTGTTACTCTTGTAATAATAAAATATCGGAGTAAGAGAAATGGATAATTTTTATGAAAAATGTTTGGAGAGAAAGAGAGAAAAGACCATCAAGCTACATTTGGCTTGAGGTAACGTAGGGGGAAAATTCGCGAAGTTAGTGTACAAATATTATTGCGTTCAACGATGATGTTTTTCGTGTTCGATGCGATAGAAACGAATTCTCCATTTCTCTGGGGACTGGTACTTTTTCTTTCTAATTCGGGAGACCGATAACTATACTTTTAGCGCTTTTTCACTATTAGCTTGTTCGCGAACATGTGAGAGCCCGAAGCAGGAAAGTACGTAATAATAATGATAATTATAATAATAATTAGAATACTAACGGTAATAACGAATCAGTGAACATTTGTTTTACAAGCAAATTAACAGGAAAAAAAAGGGAAATACGCAACATAGTATCACTGTATAGTCGGACAAACTAAGGGCAATAATGGTTGAACCAGATTAGGAGTTCATTTTACTGATGGTCCTAAGTAGAGTTTAGTTAGGTAGAGCAGCGTACACATTTGTAAAAGGATGCGTGAAGAAACTTTGTAGGAGCAAATGCGTGTATGTATTATAATAACGGATGCAAACGATACTTAATGAAAACTTAAGTAAGGAAAGAATCACCGGTATGATACGCATAGATATTTTGTAAGTGAAAATGAATTATGTACGTTCACTGCTTATGAGGAATAATAAATTCTGTGTCATAGTGTATGTATATTAATTTGTAGATGCGAAGCTAAAAAAAACGAAAAAAACGCTGTCAACAAACTATAAATACATTTGTGAATGTGCACTTATCATTCGAATAAAAAATACGTTTTGACTGTAGCCAGTATGGTCGATGTTTATTAACGTACTGAAATCACCGCGCTCTAAAACAAAAACAAAGAGAGAAAAGAAAAAGGAGATGAATAGAAACAAAACGAAGGAAAAAAAAAATAATAGGATACACAACTTACCCGGCAACAGAAGATATTTCGCATAATCACGATCGAATCGTCCCACCGCGAATTACTCCAAACGTAATCGGTAGACGGAAATTTAAAACTGAAACAGAGTTTAGCAAAATAACTGAGCAACAGCTAGAAGCGTGAAACTAAAAGGAAAAACGTCGATCCGCTTCACAAAGGTTTCATCGATATCGCTTTGTTCTCCTTATCTTCTCTTTTTTTTTTTTTTTTTTTTTTTTTTTCGTTTCGAATAACACAAGCGCTCTCGGTATCTCCTCTGTCTGAACTGGATTAATTTTCTTTCGTTTTCAATATCTTTATTACAAATCAATGGTGTAAAAAAATACATTCCCTTATCTATACTGACTAGTTAGAACAGCACGGGTTTTTCTGTTTTGTACGCCGAATTTTGTACGCTGACGAAATGCAAGGGCAACCGATCTCGCCGGTTCCTTTAGTGCCATATATATTCCGAATGATATGCTATTCCGAACGTGAGATACGTTTAACAAGAACAACAGCAACGACAAAGTTCGCGATAGAACCGACACATAGCTAGAACGAGTACAATAGAACGACGATAACATTAAATATTAATCCGAGTGTAACGGTATGTCTGCGCTTCTTCGCCGTTCGATATATGCTTCGAAAATATTGTACCTACGGAATTATTCGCACGTTCCTCCGGTTTAACGCGCGGTTCCCCGTGACGAAACGCGGGAGTAAACCAGAGGCAAGACACGCACGTGAACTTGACATCGCATATACAAACGCATTTGTTTTTCCCGTTTCTCCCGTTCGTGTATGTACATATAAAAGAACTTACAGACTAGTCGCGTAAAATTGTTAATTGTACATTATCGTATTTACAGGTACGCATGCTACCACTTAATGAAGTGCGTGTTTTCATCTCTCGTGAGCTTTCTATCAAAATTTGGAAGGCTTCGTCGTAAGTTGTAAGTGGAGCGAGACCGTGTCCGGTCAGACAGGAGACGCGCGAATAAAGCACGAACGTGTCGCGATCAATCGATTGGGAACCTTCCTAATTTCGACAAAATTACAATTGCACAGAATTCATTTGGACACCGTTATCGGAAACGAAACGGTAAACAGATAAAGAGAGAGAAAGAGGAAAAGAAAAGACGTTCCATCGACGAGGAACGTTTCTTTTTTTTTCTTTTTTTTTTTTTTTCTTCCTTTACGGTAGAAACTTCTGCGACGTATACTCGGAGAAACAGTCTTTGGTGAATGAAAGAGATAGAGAGAAAAAAAAAAGAAAACGACAAGAGAATGCGTATGACGATCATACAGCGACACTGAATGGACAGATGGATGGATCGATGGAGTAGATGGATGGAACGTGTGTGGCCAGGTCATGAAATGAAGAACAACAGAATGCATTTAATGAGCGATTGTTTATTATGCTCTTATGGTCACTTGTCATACAGGTAACGATGCTTTCTCATGAGTGAAAATAGTTAATATATTATGTTTAATATTTATAATTATTTAACATTGAATGGAATAACTCTGATGATGAAAGAATAACAATTTATGGATGCAAATAAATGTGATTAGAGTGTAAAGTAATTATTTAGAGTAAATTCAAATGCTGTGAACTAATTATATATACATATATAAAATATATATATATGTATATATAGTATAATATATACTTCATCAATAACAATCATAGTGTGGTGCCCAAGAGGTCACGTAAACTTTTAATAACAAGCAAAAATTATCAAATAAAAACGTAATCATTTTCGCGTCGTCGATCAAAAAAACAAAGACCTATTTTTGTCTTCTTTCTCGTGTTCAGGCTTACAAGCCGTGTGATGCATGCTCGCTTGTCGTCGCGTTTATCGATCCGCACATCTCGGATTCATTTTGATTTTTCCCGATCGTTGATTGGTCGTTTCAACTTTGCCTCGAATAATCACGCTAATCGTCAGATTAAAATCATTTCCTTGGAAATCGAAAGGAATATTAACAAGAATATTGGAGAATATTAAAAAAGAATGCCGAGTGGATTCTCGTCGCGTCGATAGGGAAAACACGAAAAACACTCCTCTCTATCGACTAGAGTTGAGAAGAGCTCGACGATTAGTCGGCGCAACTTTCGTTTAGTTTTCGAATTAACCCATTTATATCGGTGTAACAAAATCGAAAAGTGTATCGCTTCTCGTTCGGCAACGTCGAAAAAGCGGAGCGTTTTTGAAACGTTCAAATCCGAGGTGAGAATCGAAAAGCTAAAGAATCGTTTACTCTCGCGAAAATACAATTGAACGTAACATTATAGAAAAAAGTAACGCAACTTTTTGTGCTCGATACAATATAACAATCGTTTGTTTTGAAGGGAGTCGTAAAACACAAGGGACAAGTGTCTTGTCGTATGCTTAGTTTCCTGTCGTTCTTTTCCGAACTATCGTATGCAGAGCTACGCGCGACATTCCCCTATTATTTTCTTTGCTTTCGTTCTCTTGTATACTTTCGTCTCTTTTTCTTGGAAAAAGACCGTGACAGAACAATGTTACAAATGGATCGTTTATTTGTACGATCCATTTCACGGACAATCGATGCGCATCGACACACGTATCCAAACACGTGCATATCCCTTTTCTAATATATCGCTTAGATGATTCTCAATAATTAACAGCCCTATTATAGTTTCTCTTATCTTCTTCATCTTTCTTTTTTTTTTTTTCTTATCCGTTCAGAGAGTTTTACTCGCCAATCGGTATGTATATAAATGTATACGTATATATACATATATACATATACATATACACAGGTATATATATACATATATATAATCTTTCATCCCAAGAGAACACGCTATACTCTTTAATAATAATAATAATAATAATAGAGATTCTCTTTTTTTTTTTTCTTGTGATAGTTAGATCTAACTATAGTTTCTCGCGAACTTTTGAAGCTGAATCGCAATACCCTTTTTCTTCTAGCAGGCGAGTTCTCGTAATATATACATATACATATATACATACAGATATATATTAAAAAATACAATTTCGTTCGCTGCTCTTTTTATGCATCGTTTCCTCTTTTTAATATATATCCTGACGAAATGAACAAACAAGAAAAAAAAACGAAACAAAAACGTATGATCGACCGTGTAATACGTGCGTCAATTAAATCAGTCGGTGAAAGCGCGCCACGTATCGAATCGAAATGGATCTTTCTTTTCTTTCCCTTTTGATTATCATCATCGATCGATCGAATGCCAATTTAGCCGTATTTTCTTCTCTTCTTTTCCCCCGCTTCCTCCTCCTCCTCCTCCTCCTCCTCTTCCCCCCCCCCTCACTCATCTATCTCGTTTATTTCTCGGTGATCGCGATATATGAAACGCACGAGGCACACGGTCGTCGTGTTCTTACTATTACTTTATAGCCAAAGGAATGTAAGGTACAATACTTGTGATCGTGTTCCATCAGTGACGAACGAATCTCTACTATGGTACCTCTTTCGCAGCCAGCTGCTCTTGAAATTCGAAATATTCGTGGAAGATAATGCTATTTATTTCATCTAATGTAACCGGCATCGTAATTCGGATACGATCCTTAGAAAGGTAAAGCACAACGCGCGGCACTGCGTTTCGCGTGAAACCCTCTATTATATATTTTCATATTTTTTTTTTTTCGTTTTGTTTAAATCTTTCTTTTGCGTGTATAGGCATGCAACATTTCGCGTTATACAAGTGTACAATGTTCGTCTGTACGTGTATGCATATATGTAACATGGGTATGTGTGTCTCTCTCTCACTCTGTGTATGTAATGTATGTATGTATGTATGTATGTATGTATGTATATGTGTGCGTGTGTGTGTACAATGACAACAAGTCGTTAATGAACATGAATGTGCACACATGCACCATCGCGGTGCACTATTTTTTTTTTTTCTTCGCGACTTAGCGATTATTAATCTACTTATATTCAACAAGGTACTTAATAGTTTTTTTTTTTTCTTCATCCTCATCATCATTATAATCCCCGAGCTGCTATGTGCTACTTCTACCTCAACAATAACGATTCTCATCCAAGTTCTTCGTTATTATTCTTCATTATTTTTTTTTTTTTTTTAATCTTTTTCTTTACATATGCTTACCCAAAATAATATACCGTGTATTAACAGTCTAACTCTAAGTCTCACCTCCAATAAAATAACATTACATACACTTTTGTACAACCCTCTTAATTACACGTTAACGAATCTTTCTAGTCGTTTAAATGTGCTCTCTTATTAAGTTCCCTACTGTTCGCTCTTTTTCTCTTTATCCGTTATTTAGTTATTTATATCTTTTTTCTTCTACTCTTTCTTTAAATAGTTTTATCTCTCGAATAAATTCTTCCTCGGTTCTATTCGCTCTGCGTCTAGATATTCTGAATCGTATTTCTCTTTTTTTTTTTTCTTTTTCTCAGACATTCGGCCATCCGCGATGAGAAGACTCTTCCTCTTCTTCTTCTTTTTTCTTTTTTTTTTTTTTTTTAGAGATTTAGTTATCGGTATGCATTGCTATTTTGAATACACTAACGAGGCTCGTCTCATTCTGTTCTTTTCTTTTTCTATGTACGCGGAGAGAAAGCTTCACTTTTCTTTCGTTCCTTTCTTTTTCTTCTTTTCCCTTTTTGCTTCGCTTCGCAAGTGGCGTATTTCTCAATTGTACGACGATATCGGAGATCTGCGAATTTAGCATCTGCTCGATTTACGCAGAAGAAGACACAGTGCGGGCTGAACGATCGAAATTTGTATTACGTGTCGATGGGCGCGATATTTAATACTTTATCGGTAAATACTATGCACTAGAATCGACGACTAACGTCAGGATATTTTATCTTTTCTTTGAACTTGTCCAATTATAATTCTCGTCTCGCTATATTCGATTATCGTCCATCTTTTATTTTTTAGACAAAAATAAAAGCCTCTTTTCGTTTAATTCCACGCGTATCCCTATAATAGATAGATCTCTCTCTTTCTCTATATATATCTTTTTTTCTTTTTATATAAAATATTTACAGCCACTTTGTTATTTTCTTTTTATCCGCTTTGTATTGTTTTCTTTATTTGTGTTGTATGCTCTTTCCTTATTCTGCTCGTTTAAGGGCATTGCAATGCAGGTGTATCGTGAAATTTTAAGTTCGGCGAATTGAAACAAGAAAAAGAAAAGAAAGAGAAAGAAAAAACAAAAAGCGAAGCTTCAACGAAAATGAAAAAAAGAAAGGAAAAAGAAAAATATCCAGTGAACCAATCGATGTTGCAAATGTCGTTCAAACGTTGTGCAACACACAGCAGTTAAAAATTTCACGTACAACAGCGTTTAAAGTGGAAACATCTGACGAAGAACAAGTTAAGACAATTCGTTTATGTCATCAATTGTTGATAAAGCTCGTTCATCTTTGTTCTCTCTACCTATAAATAATTAATTTTGCTATATTGTCGATCAATGCAATGCAATCGATTATTATTATTATTATTATTTCTTCATCCTCGCCGTTTCATTCTTTACCATTTCTTCCACATCTATTATCGTATCTCTTACTGTATTAATACTTCTTAATGTAACGTTACGTTTTACATCAATTCTTTATATTTCCCTTGACTATTGTTAATTTGTTCTATCGTTTAAACCTTTGATTATAGCGAACGATTGCGAAGAGCGGCAGTAAAAGAACCTTCCGAGAATATAACATTCTTAAAGAGTGCAAATGCAACGTTTCTTTACAAACAATGGCTCGAGCGACTCGAAAGGAAAGCGATTTGTGCTACGAAAATATCTTGTACAAAGGATTTTTTCGTCCGATAATTCTTCACTTCTGTTCTACTCGTTTCAACACCGAACGTATCGAATCCAATATCAAGCGCAGACCGACAATAGGAGAAAAGAAAGTCAGCTTTCTCTCTGATTTGACAACAACAAGAACAATTTCCAAACGAAACGCATTGCTCCTGTTCAAGAAACTGTTGCATTTTTTACAAAATTTGTAATTCCTCGTCGAATATGCATATATTATTTTATAAAATAAGAAGTTCGAACTTAGAGTTTTCAATCAATACGTATAGATCGACACAATATATACGCATATATATTGTATAGATATATATATAGATATATATATATATAAGCTCTATCTCGTCATCGTGATAATCAACATTAAAATCCCTCGACAGCTGTAAAACGATTCTTTGTACACTGCAGAAACTAAATAAGCATATACAGGTGTGTTTCATAATACTTTGTAACGATTTAATATATGCGTAATGAGAAATAAACGTATTCCGACTTTATTCAAAACAGCCTGCATAATCGCAGAATATACACATCTTTAACAACACGTTCTACCGTCAAAACGTCAACAAGTGTGGCTGATGGGATATCAATATGGCACTAAAGTGATTGGGTGGAGTGTGTAAATGTCGTGCGAAAGAATTTTTTCATTTTTGTTTCCTCTGCTATCGATCATATGTACCGATCCCTCGTTCGATCTTTCGTTCCTTCCTTCTTTCCCTTTCGTTCGTATCGGAATATCGATTTACATATGTAGTTAATGATAAATCATCGTTACTCTCTTCCTTTAATCCCCCCTTTTTAATTTGTCAACCCCCCCCCCCTCCTCCTCTCCTCTCCTCCGCTATTTATTTCCGTTCTATACAGGTAAATGGAGTCTGTGCGAGTGGAGTGATGGATGATGGAACATGAATTACGATGTAGCCTAGCACACACAGCCAAGTAACGTGACACGCAAGCCACACCATCGTGGCGACGTGTGTCAAATTCAATTATAGTTACTGTAACAATAGTTCATATTAGAATTGAGGCGAGTCAATGCAATTCCTACAGTTTCCCTGATTACTACACTACGTCTCCACGTGCGAGAGTATAATTATACATTTTTTATCCATTTCTGTAAATATTTTTTTTTTCCTTTTATCGATCGATTATTGATTAAAACGTTGAACCTGTAATGACGACTTTTACAAGAGATTTAAGACACTACCTACACATCTATACTTAGTAATCGTGTACAACTATCCACGGCGCCCAACAACCATTCTCTGGCGCCGTGGTTTACCATGTTTATTATCGTTAATCTTTTTTTTTTTCGTTTTCATTACCTAGAGAATGATCGGATGAAATATATCTCAAACTGTACAAAACAAAGCGTCATATGAAATAAGATTCTCCTAAATGTGTGGCGACTGCCGGCTTAATTACTCTAACGATGTCCTCTCGTTAAACAACTCGTAGGTAACATAGACTGGCCAACCAATACTGTTCTTTCTTTTTTTTTTCTTTTTGCCACATTGCATGGAGGTATTTTCGTATCGTTATTTCGAGCAACAATCGTCCAACACGCGAACAATAAAATTCAACGCAATAATATGCAACCGTCTAAAGGTGAACCCTATAAAGGTATCTGTAAACGTGAAACAATCCAGAAGAAACGTATACGAACGATCGTTCTTCCCCGTTGGACGTTTATCTCTATGGAATTTTCTGCATCGACCGTCAATAGTTACGATTCAATGTATCGAACGATTTTAATTTCTTTCCCTATTACGTTATACGTCTTCTAAACCGATGAACACATGCGAACCGTAGCCCCGTAACATTTACGATATTTATAAAATACTAATATTGTACAGAGAGATGTATATAAACCGCTAAAGGAAATACTAATAGTAAACTGGCTGATCGTTATAACTTGTAATATGTTTATCACTTCGTTTCTTACCGATGGTG